ATAAAGGGGGTTAGATTCTAAAGAAAACTGTAGCGCTGCGTCAGTGGAGGGGGGTGGGGGAGGGCAATACATGTGTGTAAACAATAACTGATACTTTAAATTGGCCACCTTGTAGAGTTTCTGTAGCTGACGTGTCGAACGTTAGGTCCTCGTCAGAGCCAATTTACTTTGTCAACTCAGTCGATAAACCAAATTAAATGTAGTATAGTTGGATTGATAGTCTTGCCTTTCCTGCAAAGTAAAATCTTGGCAAATTTGCGGCAATCTTCGAAGAACACTTGGGCCAGCAAAAGAAACGACACATGCGAGAAACTTCCATTTGGCCAAACAAAAATTTAAAAAAACAAATGTTACTTTAGGTAATTAAGGTTTAATTGTGAACAAAGTAACAATTTTTCCAGTTGTCTTACTTCTTAATTCTCCAAGTTAGGCCTGAAACATCACTAAATAGCAAGTTCGCCTTGGCAGATTGCTCCTATGTATGCATCATCAGAAATGTTATGAGTCAATCTTTCCCTGGGAATCCAGTTTGTCGTTTGCAATTCTGAAACATTTTTAAAAAATAATGATAATGATATTAATAGTAATATTGATAATAATAGTGATGATAATGATAATAAAGTAATGATGAAAATAAAAATGATAACATTAACATTAATGATATTAATAATGATGACAATGATAATAACAATGATGGTATGAGTATTCAAAAAATAAAAAAACCTTTCATACAATGCCAAAGCACAAGCTTTCAGACATTCCTCAACTTTATACCTGCCAGATGATGTACAATCATAATAGTGCAACGGATATAAACTGTCAAACCTCAACTCATCCCTATTAAGTACGCCAATCGAGGTGTCCAAGAGTATTCATGCTTAGATTAGCTTCCTACCTACCGAGCGCGAGGGCTGCACTAAGGAAAACACGCCCGAGTTGGCGGCAGTGCGGACTGAGCTGAGCGCGTTTTACAAAAACGACCGAGGGCCAATATTCTGCAGTACAGCTCAAGTAAGACAGGTTAGTAAGTACATTATAGGGCCCTCGGACTGAACTTGATTACTCAAAATTTGCCGGCTTTCGAGTAAAAAAGTGCAAGGCTTAGTAGTAATTAGTAATTTAATATTTATATTGCGCAAATTAACATGTGGATATGATCAAATGCGCATCACAACACTGTTCGGGGGACTTTGGCCAGACTGCATCAGCATTTTACAAACAATCGAAAGAAACTTATTTGAAGATGTCTCTTCCCCCCAATTCCCAGTAAACTGGCCAGACCACATCACAGTAATTTCGTGAGTGGGTTCTTTAACGTCCCCTGCCTAACCAAATTATCTAATTAATAGATGCAGGAGACGGAAAGACCGTTTTCGTGAAAACAGTGCGTATAGCAAAATCATGACCAAATAAGAACCAGTCTAAACGGTCGGATTTACCCCAAGACTACCTTGTCATTCAGCTAACTTGCTAGAACGACACTTTTTTATCTAAAATAAAACAAAACCTGCTCGCAAATTTTTTTATTGAACTTAAGCCAAAATAATGATCTATGTGGTCATGTATGGCTACATGTGCAATATTTTGTCCGTGGAAGGGTGTGGTGTAGGGTGATATCCCCTTAAGAAGCATTGCCACCTGAAAGGTCATGGGTTTTGAGCCGTTTTGGTCTAAAAACGGGTGTAGATTTGAACCACTGTGATCCTAAATCGAGTATCAGCCTATTAAAGTATTTGTCTTTCCAACTCCAGATGATTATAAGAAAAAGAGAAAAAAGCAAAAATAATTCTAGTAGAATATTTTTTTCTCGTTGACTGAGTGGGATTGAGTAATCAACGTTCGTTCCGCAGTCACTTTTAGCTTATACTTAGTTGAATATTGATGAAGAATCAAATTCTGATGAGTTATTCTCTGTCCGAGGAAGTGCATTAAAAATAAACATTCGAGTTCGAGCTAAAATGTTAACGGTCAGGAATCATCCAGTAACCTTCTATGAGAGAAGCGGGGAGGGGGTGGGGAAGCGAGTTGTTGGTTATTTAAGGGGATTGTAAGACATTCAAGTATTCGTCCAAAACTCGTATGGGAATAGTTATTCAGTGTTACTTTTAGCCATCAGTGGAAGGTTGTTACAAATAAACATATACACTTCAATGCGGATCATTTCACTCCTGCTTTAATATCCAACCCTCGTCACTCGCATTACAA